ATAAAATTGTAGTAATTGTTACAACATTATTCAATATTGGAAGACTTAAGCCTACCTCCTTTTGCCTGTCTGTAAAACGAGCAAGTCTGTAATCGTTTGAATCCCATTGCTACAAGTTCATAAGAATACAATATCACACAATCAATGTGATATTAATCAACACAAGATCAGGAGAAAGATCGTTTTAAGTTTCTTAGAATGTATTGCTTATTGTTTTATGTTTCACCGATTTCTTTCAAACCCTGAACTACCTGGCCAGTATGTGTCACTTTATCAGGAGCAGCGTAACTTCGTACAGAAGAATGAAGAGCTGCCACTGAACGGAGGTTATTTCTAACAACAAATCGTCGGAAACCAAGTCTCAAGGAGGCCGCCATCTTGGCCAATAGCAATCCCACAATTCAATTGGCACTTACAGTCTATGACGAGCTAGTTGGTCTGCGGTATACATTCGTAGACAACAACATGTCGGACAGGAAAAGAGAGTGTAAGGCAAAGGGTGAAAAAAGTAAAACAAAAGAAGGGAAAAGGAAAAGAAAACGTAGTGAAAGTGATGAAATAGAACTGACTAAACACTATGAAACATTGTAAGGACATATTTTCCTTAAATCGTTTCTGTATACTGCCCTGAAAGTTCTGCGATGCGTGCATGTTGGATTGCATTGTGGGCTTGGGGAAAGTTTCAATTTGTCAAGACTTCCTTTTGACTCAGGAATGTGCTTATCTTTGCAGCTATGAGCAGCCACCCCCTGGGATTATAAAGGTCAGTGGCGAATATCTTTGAAATCGTGCCTATGACATAGCTGATCAATGGTCATCAATCTAAAATTAATGCACCAGTCATTTGATACCCCTGCACCCCCCCCATTGGGGGATACCCGGGGCATTCACTTTTACTGTCAGTGAAATGCAGTGAAAGCCTCATCTTGCAGGGAAAGAAATTCAGGGTGAACTCCCTGCCCTCTAAACATCAAACACAATTCATTAACTAGATTATAATTTTTTTTTAACAACTAGAGCTTTCACAGGAGTTTTTTCATGCTACTGAGGTCAAGTCAAAGTTTGATATTAAGTGATTGAAATCATACCTTCTCCATCAGTTGTTCAGCCTCCATGTTTTATGTGAACAGGCAACTTGAACCCAGTCCTCTAAAAGAGGTTGTGAACTGCGAGTGAAATCCCTGCCAAGCCCCTGCTCAGCCCCTGCATTGTATAGTGAAGCAGTGTAAAAAGGTGCATTCCCCGACTATCGATCGGGGGACCTAATTCAAGTAAAAACGAGGTGGAAACCCCCAGATTGCCCTGGGTATCCCCCAATTGGGCTGTAGATAAAATTTAATTGCCGATTATAAACAATTTATTGTTCACGACTAAATATCTAGTCTGTGGAGGCCCTAAATAAAGTAAAAGCCCAGAGGTCAGTAATGTTCACCGTCATTTTTTTTTTTCAGTTTTTGACTGAAGCCCTGGAGAGTATTCTTTGACTATCATCTATGTTTGTCTGTTAGAGATTCTTACCCTCCAGATTTGATGTGTTGCCTCCCACTCTCCCGATTCTTATCAAGTTCTCCTGATTTATCATAAAATTGTGAAAACAAGGGAAAAAATGCTAATCTTAAGTATTTTTTTTGTGATGTATTACACTTTCTTCTCATATTACCTCACCCAGTCTCTCACCACCTGTTGTGCAGACTCATCAGGTCAGCAGTCTTACTCCATTTAGCAGCTCCAAAATGTAGCAAAAAGCATTTGAGAAAACCTAAATATGCAAAATTTCCCGGTGGGCATGCCCCCGGACCCCACTAGAGGCTGCTGCCTCTGGTGCTAAAAGAGTCTCCCTATTTTCCTTCAAAAGGGGTTGGAATCTCTGGTTTGGAAACACCAAGTTATTCCAAAATCTAGCTGATGAATTTCCTGAGCTTGCACACACTATACCTTGTGCAGAATACTGTACTAAGTGTGTGAAGTTCTGATCTGACTTGGGATGATGACTTTTTGCCATCTAGAATGGAATTCATACGAAATGATTGCTTTGTGGGTCTCTTGTTATAATCCAGGAGAAAGACGAGCCCCCAGAGGACTGTATTCCTGATTTACCAGAAAACAAGGATGCAAGGGAATTTCTTGCTCACGCCCCTTCTAAAGGACTGTGGATGCCCCTTGGAAAGGAAGTTAAAGTTATGAAATGTGAGTTTAGCAACTGCCTAAAGTATTTTAAGGGTTAAAGTATATTTCAGGCCATTTCAACCTGAAACCACTTGAGCTGAAGCCTGCCACATTAGCCATAAGGCAAGTTAACATACACCCCAGAGTAACTAGATAATATGTTATACACAAGTGTTTGTCCCAGCCAGTGAAATGCCTTTATCTTATGACTTGTTAGTGTCAGCTTTTCAATTTATCATGTATATGGTCCCAGAGTGATGTGTTTATAATGCATGTGATTCTTTCAGGTTGGCGCTGCAAATCCTATGGCCACAGAACAGGTGACAGAGAATGTCCCATGTTTATCAGTGGCAACAAAGATATTGAAAAGTTCCGAATGGTGAGGTCCTAAAAGTAACAATATTTTTATCATCATTCTCATCATTAAGTGTTCAATACTTGTAAAAATTTCAGAACCCTCATCTAAAAAGTCCTTGGCAATGCTTTAAAATTCAAGCCTTGACTAAAGTTACCTAATGCAATGTGATTGATAATAATGATGGTGTTTTTCCTTTATGGGTAGATATAACCATAATAAATATTATGTTCAGAATGTGGCTGATGAGAGTAATCCTCACCCATATACAGTAAATCAGTACTAGTTTAGAGGTTCACAATTTAAACAACAAGACAGATGTAGACACACATTTCAAAGAAGCAAAGCAGGGGCTGCCACATTGTTAACAACTGCACATTGTAGGCTGGCTACTCACTATCTACAACAGGATAGATGGTGAGTAGCATAGCTAGTAAAATGTGCATGTAATACATACTGTAAGAGTAATCTGGGCCATTTCAGCTTTTGCAGTTTCTTCATTCTTTTATTACAGTTGAACATTACAGCACATTTTACTTTCTTGTAATGATTATTTTAAAGCTTGATTTGTCATTCAGTGGTAGCTGTCTAATTCACTGAAAGTTAATTTTGTACTTGAGTACACAGGATTAAAAAAATAGACATTGAAAGTAAACAATGCTAAAAAAGAATTTCTTAGTTTATTCATATTTGGGTTTCTGTTAATCAATACCTGGCTTTGGATTGATCTCGCCTTGGCTGTAGAAATTTTCATACAGTTCTATGGCTCTACTTTTCATTACAGAGGAGCACCATACATAAAAAAATTTGAAAAACAAAAAGAACAAAATAACTAAAAAATATTTGATAAACCATATAAAANCGGAGCCCCATACCTTAGAAAATTTGATAAACCATCTGATCAAATTATCTCAAATATATTTGGTTGTCACATGACTGTCCATATGTACGTACGTCCATACGTACATCTGTATGTATGCCCATTCATGTAAATCAATGTGAAATGCCACTCTGCAGCAACCTAGTTCCCAGGGCTTTTCCCTTAGAGATCATGATGGGTGGGTTCATTGTGTACATCTTTGATATTGGGCATCCATGTTATGTTCAATTGACACCTGTCAAAACAAGGTATCCGCTTACCAGTATCACATGACTGTATCACAGGCTCATGTTTAGGGCGCATTGAGGTCACATGGTGTTTTGAAGTTGACTGCTGCCCAGGTACAAGTTTTTGATTGGATCGCAGGCTCAAGCCAGGTTAACTTATCGTAAGCGGGAACTCTGCCAGGGTTCATATGGGTCCTGGAAAACCTGGAAAATCCTGGAATTTTACTGCAGCATTTTCCAGGACTGGAAAGTCCTAGAAAAGGGCTACTGGTCCTGGAAAGTGCTGGAAATCTGTTAAACTGAAGTAAAAAATATGAAATGTATGCCAGACAGCAAGGAGAATTAAAATTGAGATCTTGGGAGTGAAAGGGTTGATGTGAATTTTAGAGTCCTGGAAAAGTCCTGGAAATTTGTTTCTGGAAAAGGGTACAAACCCTGTTCTGCTTNGAAAGTAAACAATGCTAAAAAAGAATTTCTTAGTTTATTCATATTTGGGTTTCTGTTAATCAATACCTGGTTTTGGATTGATCTCGCCTTGGCTGTAGAAATTTTCATACAGTTCTATGGCTCTACTTTTCATTACAGTGGAGCTCCTGCATGCTGAAGGCATGCAAGTGGAGCCCCATAGCTTAGAAAATTTGATAAACTATCTGATCAAATTATCTCAAATATAATTATTTGGTTGTCACATGACTGTCCGTACGTACATACGTCCATACGTACATCTGTATGTATGCCCATTCATGTAAATCAATGTGAAATGCCACTCTGCAACAACCTAGTTCCCAGGGCTTTTCCCTTAGAGATCATGCTGGGTAGGTTCATTGTGTACATCTGTGATATTGGGCATCCATGTTATGTTCAATTGACACCTGTCAAAACTAGGTATCTGCTTACCAGTATCACATGACTGTATCACAGGCTCATTTTACATTGAGGTCACATGGTGTTTTGAAGTTGACTGCTGCCCAGGTACAAGTTTTTGATTGGATCGCAGGCTCAAGCCAGGTTAACTTATCGTAAGCGGGAACTCTGCCAGGGTTCATATGGGTCCTGGAAAACCTGGAAAGTCCTGGAATTTTACTGCGGCATTTTCCAGGACTGGAAAGTCCTAGAAAAGGGCTACTGGTCCTGGAAAGTGCTGGAAATCTTTTAAACTGAAGTAAAAAATATGAAATGTATGGCAGACAGCAAGGAGAATTAAAATTGAGATCTTGGGAGTGAAAGGGTTGATGTGAATTTTAGAGTCCTGGAAANAAGAGAAGTGCAAGATAAATTTCTTATTATCAAAATGAGGATAGAAGAAACTGGCAGAGTGATGGGGCTGAGATGTATTGGTACATGTACTGTACATATGTATGTAGCTCATTGAATCATACCAAAGAATGGCTTGAAAGGAGAAAACAAAAGCCAGATAACATAACTCTGGAAGAATGCTTTGTCATAAAGGATGTTGTCCTCCTTGACCTCCTTGTTACTATGCTAATGGATTTGGTTCTGCTTCCATGCCTTCACTTGTTTGGTTGTCTGTTGAGGTCAGATTTCATGAAGGGATCACGTGTACAGAGACAGTTGCTAGCTTTTCTGTCGAATGCTAGCAGGCCATCCTCAAGAGATGGCTGGTACTCATTGAGACTACTGGTTGGAGTTGAGAGGCACTGTGAAGATTAAGGTGCCTTGGCCAAGAACGCAACACAATTACTTTCTATGTAGGTACAGACAGTTAGGACAATAGTTATTACCTTGATTGGAAGAAAAAAAAAACCTGTTTTGATTGTAATCGTGTAAAAGATGTAGAATGGAGGCTCTAAGGAATGTAATAATGTGCTCTAGCAACTTATTGAGAAGCAAACCAATCATGGCTGCTCTTCATGCCTCAAGGACAAAGCAAAACAACTGGATGACCAATGGTATTTTTAATGAATACAC